AGGTAAAATCCCCACTGAGTGGTTTTCATCCAGTTTAGACAGGTGTGGTGAAAGGAGATGGGGACAAGACTGTCATGATTCAATAGTGAATAATTGTTTTCATGACTAATTTCTATCACAACTGTAAAGATAGAAGTTTTGTAGCAAAAAAGGGTGAGTGGTTAATCTCACAGTCCCAGAGCACAGAGCACCCTGGGACCATCAAGGGAGAAGACTGGGAGTGGAGTGTGGACCCCTACTAAGAGAAGTGGTGATGCCAGAGATTGAGGCAGAGATGCTGGCATGGGGAGATGGAGCAGCTGAAGACTATAGACTCATGGAGGGAGAGGGGATGTGTACTGGTGGTCGGGGGGCAGGGTGTGCCCTTTGGCTGTTTGGATGATTGTGTGTTCCTGAGTATTTTGGTGTACATCCAAAAAAAAACAAAAAAAAACAAAACCCACAGGGAATAGAAGCAATACTGTTGAATGATGAAGCATGCAGGGGATTGTAACCATTGCAATGAAACGAACTGTTGTTCCCCCATGTAAACTATCACTCAAGTCACAATAAAAACTTTGAGAAGAAAAAAAAAAGAAAGACCAAAAAACCTGCAGTGTACAGATGATACAACCTTACTTACTGAAAATAAAGAAGACTTAAAAAACTTACTGATGGGAAAAAAAAGTGCATGAAAAAAATGACATTACTTTTTCATTTCATTTTTCTACGAATTTTCTGAAGCCTCCTTATGCATTCAAATTTGCTTTGGATTAGTATTTTATTTTTAATATAAACAGGTTTCCCATGCTATATATTTCTCCAAATTCATCCTTCTAGAAAATACTAATATGTTACAAAATAGTTGTTTATCTGTCAAATATATAACATGTTACATTTTGTCCCATATATGTAAATTTTGATTTTAAGTTGATTCTTTTCTGCTATTCTGGGTTTACTGTATATATATATTGAATTCTAATACTGTTTTTAATATAGGGGTTAAAGAACAAACCAAAGAAAACAGCACATGTGAAACCAGACCTCATAGATGTTGATCTTGTAAGAGGTGAGTCTTGAATAGACAAGTGCTTAATGAAATTACAACTTGAAGAGACATAACTCAAAATGAGTATGATATAGATGTTTATAAAATTAAAAGCAAGTGTAAGCTTAAGTGAAGACAGGGATATTATTAAAATGTTCATGGATAGGAAAGAAAATGTTAAGTGCCATTGAGTTGAGTTTCTGCGGAGTGTCTGGTGAATTTGAACGTTCAACCTTATGGTTTAAACCAACCTTGAGGTGAAATGCTTATATGTAGGTTCCATACCAGGACTCCAGGAAAGAGCATAGAATTTTAATGCCATTAACTTGGTTTTTCTTTCCACTATAAGATCATTCTAAGAAATAGCAAGTAAACTATAGGTCTTTGTTAAAAAAAATTATAGAGGTCGTTTATAATTCCTAACCGGAACTGACCTTGCCCTAATAAAATACATGGAAGAAATTCTGCTGTTATTTCACAATTAAAACAGTTTTTCAAAGTCCTGAGTTAATATGATAGCATGTAAAATGTTTTAAAAAATATGTAATTTTCAATATCGAATATATTTAACTAACAGTATGGTTTTAGTGGTAGTGGTGGTGTACCATTGAGTCCATTTTGAATCATAGCGACCCTGTATAGGGTTCCCGAGGCTGTCAGTCTTTACTGGAGCAGAAAGCCTCACCTTTCTTCCATGGAATGACTGGTATATTTGAACTGCTGACCTTATTTGAAGTTAGCAACCCAACTCATAACCCTGCTACCAGGGCTCCTTAACTCAGACTATAACTCAAAATCAAATTACATCTGTGGTCCTGGTCTTCAGACATTGAAAAAATGTTTCCCTAAGGAAATTAAATCTTAATGAAAGTGTACTATCATTTCATTTTACTTTTTTCAGGGTCTGCATTTGCTAAGGCAAAACCTGAAAGTCCTTGGACTTCTCTGACTAGAAAGGGAATCGTTCGAGTTGTATTTTTTCCCTTTTTCTTCCGATGGTGGTTACAAGTAACATCAAAGGTCATCTTTTTCTGGCTTCTTGTCCTTTATCTTCTCCAAGGTATAATTAAGTACTAGAAATGCATTTTGATTTAAACTTTCAGCATATTTTGTTTTTAGGGCTACTAAGGATGTGTTGATTGTACCTCCAAGATTCATTTATAATGAAGTATGGGAGCTATAATTATGTGTAACTTACAAATAAGGGACCAAAAGCACCCAAGGGCCAAACTCAATTCCTTTAGGAAGTGTGGTAGAGCCCATACTCAAGTCTAAGCAATCTGATTGCAGAGCCACACACGCTCAACAACTCTGTTCATTCTGCCTCCCAGCACCATTCAAGGGCACAGTCATAGCAGTAGTGTATGACACTACAGACAGAGCATTTGGAGACTAAAGAAGATACGATTCATATTCCATCATTCTAAAAATGCACTGAATTTAATTTGATTTATACTGTTACAGGCGTTTTGGCATGTTGATTTTTTGCCCTATAACATCACGATCTCAAATGATTATTTAAATATGGTTATCTATAGAGCTGTAAGTAAAAGACAATATCCCTGAAGTAAATAATAATGGAATAAGAACTATAAATGTTTATTTAGGTAAGGTAATTTCTTCTAAGCCTAGGAACATCATACATGTATAAAAGAGGATGAACTATCAGGGTTTTGTGATTGTTGCTAATAGAGAGCATGAGTTTTATTTATTTTTTTTTTGTATTTTTCTGGTTAAAAAAATGATACATGTTCATTTCACACATTTTAGAATAATTTTCTTCTGTTATATTCCAACAATGCCTGAAGGGTCTTCATACATGTTTCCTATTGCTTTTAAAATGTTGACCTTCATTGCTCTTTAGTAATGTCATTACATGACAGTTCCTCTAAATCTTTTATTTTTATTAACTGTTTTTTAGGTATAGTTATCTAAATTTTTGTTCCGTTATTTTCCTGTCTGTTTTTTCCCCCCAAAAAGGGTTGACGAGAACTTAGTTGCAGTGTTGCCCAGTGTTGTCAAGTCTATTGCAACTCATACTGACCCTACCGGAGAGAGTAGAACTATTCCTTGGGGTTTCTGAGGTTAGAAATCTTTACAGACGCAGACTCCTCATACTTCTCCCAGGGAGCAGCTGGTGGGTTCAAACCGCTGACCTTTTGGTTGTTGTTGTTAATTGCTATCAAGTTGGTTCCAACTCATAGCAACCGTATATGAGTTTCCAAGGAGCAGCTGGTGGGTTTGAATCACCAACCTTGCAGTTAGCAATTCATTGCTTATCCTATAGCACCACACCAGGACACCAACCTTTCAGTTAACAGCCCAAAACAGCACCACCTGGGCTCCTTCATGTCAAGTGTATTTATTATCAAATGCTTTCCCGTTTATCCTGTGTTGTGGTGTTGTGCTGTCGAGTTGGTTCCGAATCATAGCGACCCTGTATAGGATTTCTGAGGAATGACTGGTGGGTAGTTTATTCTGAGTGGTCAGAAATTGGCAATTGCTTACTAGCATAATAACTATCACTGATTGTATACCTTTGTCTGTTATGCATTTCTAATAGTGTTGCTTACTAGCATTAGAGGCATACTCGTCAGTTTGTTGTGCTGGTGGCTTACATGTTGCTGTGATGCTGAAAGCTATGCCACCGATATGTCAAATACCAGTAAGGTCAGCCATAGTGCACAGTGTTCAGCAGAGCTTCCAAACTAAGACAGACTAGGAAGAAGGACCTGATAATCTACTTCTAAAAATATTAGCCAGTGAAAACTTTATGAATAGCAGTGGAACATTGCAGTCTCTGGATCTATGCAAAGGCACTGGTCCTTGTGTATCATAACAAATTATGGATAATATATTGCTAAGTATGGGAATCACTGAACACTTAATTATGCTCATTCAAAACCTGTACATAGACCAGGTAGCAGACATTCAAACAAAACAAGGAGATGCTTGTTTAAAATGACTTAAAACCAAGAACGATGTGTGTGTCTGGGTGTGTCCTTTCACCATACTTATTTAGTCTATATGTTCAGCAAAATAATCCCAAAAGCTGGACTATATGAAGAAGAATGTAGCATCAGGATTGGAAGAAGTGTCATTAAAATCCTGCAATATGCAGATGACACAATCTTGTTTGTTGAAATTGAAGAGGACTTAAAAGCGCCTGTTGATGAAGATCAAAGATTACAGCCTTTAGTACAGATTATACTGCAATATAAAGAAACCAGAAACCCTCATAACTGAACAATAAGCAATTCAATAATAAACAGAGAAAAGATCGAAGTTCTCAAGGATTTCATTTTACTTGGATCCACAATCAACATCCATGGAAGCAGCAGTCAAAAAGTAAACAAGCTGTTGCTTTGGGCATTTGTACTGCAGAATACCTTGTAAGAGTGCTATAAAATGCAAATACACCACTTTGAGGACTAAGGTGCACTGGCCTAAACCAGGATGTTTTCTACCCCTTCACATGTATGCAAAAGCTGGACAATAAATAAGGAAGACAGAAGAATTGATTCCTTTGAATTATGGTGATGGTGAAGAATATTGATTATTCTATGGATTGTCAGAAAAATGATCAAATCTGTCATAAAACAAGTACAGCCAAAATGCTTCTTAAAAGTTAGGATAGCGAGACTTTGTCTCATTTTGGACTTGTTAACATTAGTGACTACCTAGAGAAAGGACATCATGCTTGGTAGAGGATCAGTGAAAAAGCAGACTCTCAGCCAGATGGACTGACACAGCAACTGCAACAATGGACTTGAACAGATCCAAGATTGTGAGGATGGTCACGATCAGGCAGTTTCCACAGGTCACGATCATTCTGTTTGTAGACAGCAGTCAGAACCCACTGGACAGTACCTAACAACATATCAGTGTTTGGAGGCAAAAAGGTTCCCAATGTCATTTCATTTTTACTGACGTTACATAGTTACGTTGCGTCTGAGATTCATTTGGTGGGTTGTCTTAAGTTTAATAGAAGCAGAGTTGCAGGGTATGGCCTCACTGTATTCCACTCACACTTCCTGAAAAGTAGTAAGATTTGGTTTTATAATAATAACTATGAATAAATTTTGTTTTATCTTAATTTACATGCTTTTTAAATACCTCAGTTATATATTCTCATGTATATCTCTTCTTTCTTATATCTTATCCAGATTACTGCTAAGAGTCCTTATATCTTCTACCTCTGTCCATTTACCTTTTCTAATTACAAATCCAAACTAGTCATGTAAGGCCCCATGAGATATATTTCAGTCATGAGATATACAACTCTTTCCTCTGTCTACCAATTTAGCCAGGCTAAATTTAGCTCTTTACTGGTTTTTAAACATTGTATATTTTTGCCTTCATGCCTTTGGACATATAATTCTCTTTGCCCGGGTAGCCCTTTTTTCTTCTTATTTACCTAGTCAGCACTGCTTTGTTTTTTTTCAGACTTTGACATCACCATCTTTGAGAATCCTTTCGTAACTCCCCAGTTTAGTTACCTTTTTGTATTGTATCATAGCATTTAGCACAGAGTATTACAATAGTGTGTGTGTGTGTGTGTGCATGTGTGCCTTCTTTCTTGTAAACCAAAAAGGGTCCTGTTAGCCTTTTTATCCTTAATACCTAACATTTGCCCCTAAATTTAAAAGATTTTGTTAAGTGCCATTAAGTCAATTCTAACTCATAGTGGTCCTGTAAAGGGTTTCCAAGGAGTGGCTGGTAGGTTTGAACCACCAACCTTGTGGTTAGCAGTCCAGTGCTGATCCTGCAGTGCCACAAGTTTAGAGTATTTTATATTCCTGATGGTAGCCCCTAGAGTTCTGCTTGGTCAGTCTGTGAAGTCCTGCCTTGGGGCCACATGCACCTTATAAATAACATCCTGTTTTAGCCGAGCTGTGTCAGTAATCTGTAGAAAAAATATTCAGCAGTACTATTTATAAGATTTCGTTCAATGATGAAAAAGTGTAAGCATTATATAACAGAAGTGAATGTTTTCTCCTTATGTTTTCTAAACCTTCACTTGAGGTGAGAATGAAAGGACAGAGGTTATACCAGAACCATGGTAGAGGCTGCTTTAGGAGCTGAGGCCATAGAAGTGGCAGCATGGTCACTCTGAGAGACAGAGCCTGAAGAAGGAAGGAAAGCAAGAGAGAGGAAGAAAGTGGCATCTCCTCTTCTCCTCCTAATAACTCATTACTCTTGGCAGTATTTCATAGAATTTAACCACTTTCTGCAAAGATATAGAAAATAGGCTCCAAGCTATAGCATTACAGAGAACGGTTGTCATAGGGCTTAGAGAGAACAGATAGTCATCTGAAGTTCTTTAAGATGTTCACCTTTGTGCCTGAAGCTCTATACCTCTTACATACCAAGATTTCTACCCTTTTAAAGATAGTTAACTTCATGATCACCAATAAAACTTATCCTTTACCAATGTTAAGTACACATTTACTGTATGTAAGGAGCTTTTCAAAGCATTTTGCATTTAAACAGTAAATTGCCAACATAATAATTTTATTGTATAGAATTTAAAAAGCCAAGCTTCAAAAAAAAAAAAAAAAAAAGAATAAGCTAGATAAAGGTCACATTGGAGTTCGTGAAGGTGATTGGCATTTAAAAAATTTAAGTTATCTTTCTAAAGAATTTTATTATTCAGGTTTGTTTTCATGGTACTCTTTAAGCCTATTAAGACATTAAATGGTATTTTAAGTTTAAATCTTGGTATGTTAGACCATGACTCAAAAGTTTAAAAAGTATAGAAAGCTAGCTAGAATAGTATGATATCCAGATGACTGTATGTCTCCATTTGGCTGAGCTGCCTTAGTTTACTTGTGTTGTCTCAAATAAAAGTGCTTTTATCAACAGCTCTATTTCTACTCTCAATGGTGTTATGATTTGTCGTTGTTAAGTGCTGTTTTATTGGTTCTGTGTCATAGACCTTGTATAGAATTTCTCAGACTGTAAATCTTCACTGGATCAGAAAGCCTCATCTTTCTCCCACAGAGTGGCTGGTGGACTTGAACCACTGACCTAGTGGTTCACAGTGCAGAGCTTATCCTACATGCTCCCAGTGTCCTGATATAGATGACAAATTATGTAGTTACCCTAAACACCCATCCATCTGTCTCTTTGGATTAGTAGTTATAAATATTTTGGCATAAATGATGAAAGTAAATTATATATATAACATTTAACCCTTGAATATATCACTATCCATGTTTTTAAAATATGTCCCTTACATAATTAAATTACAATTATCACACATAAGATGAACATGTATCTTCTGTTATTCAAATTATCCAACTGTTCCAAAACAGAATTTGGTCAGCAGTTCAAACCCACCAGCTGCTACTTGGAAACCATGTATAGGGTCAGTATGAGTTGGAACCAACTTGATAGCACTTAACAACAGCAACAGACCATGGACTGTGTTCAGGAAGTCTGAGACTGAGCAGGCAGAAACAAGATATCCCCTTCATGTGGTAATCTTAAACATTGATATGTGCTTAGTGATTTCCCAGGAGAATATACTGTAAATTTGTTGTTTTAATTTTAAGTAGATAGATTTCTATTAATAGGAAGTTCTTTGTAGTATTATTATGCACTTTGGTTATCATAACCAATCTCCAGTTGCCGTGGGCTTGACTCTGCCTCATCCCCTGTGTCTGTCAGAGTAAAACTACTCTGTAGCATTTTCAGTTGCTTGTTTTCGGAAGTAGATGGCCTGGCCTTTCTTTTCAAGGCACCTCTAGGTGTACGCAGACTTTCTATAGTGTGTTTAACGATTTGTACCATCAAGGACTGCATACATACTTACCATTAAAACAGAACAATTGCCATGGAGTGACCCCATGTTTTCAGTAGAAACATGCTCCATCATTTTTTTGTTTTTTGCAAGATCTCTGGTTATTTAATACTTTTCCCACTCATTTAGTAAATGAAATTATATATATATATATATATAATT